AGTTGGCTTAATAAAATTTAGAGTTATTTAATTATTTAGCAATTTTTTTGTTAGAAAAATTTTGTACGAGTAATAGATGGGGAGAGAGAGATTCCCTCTTTTTTAAATCTAATATAGTATAAAAAAAAAAGTTTATTAATAAATAAATATTGTTATAGTACATACAGTACATGCATAAATATTTATCTTGTTGTTTTTAACAGGTTTCGTAAAACAACGAATCTTGTAATGTTGATGATTCTGGTAATTTAGATAAAAACAAGAGAATATCTTTAACTGGTGTGTATTAATTATTGTGCGAGTCAGAAGGAATAGGAATATGCCATGAGCCAGTTTTTCCATGCTTGTTTTGATAAAAAGCCCCATCTTGATTATTTTTTTCTTTATTTAACACAAGTTCCAATCCACTATTATGATGATACTAAAGATCTTTCCTATTAAAATGATATGCATCTCCACCATGTAATCTACATAGTAAACATAACCAAAAAAAAACATGATGGCAAAGTGATTCATTTGAATTTATATTTATATACAGGTAATTAAGTATTCGTTCAATTTCTTCTGAAGATAATCCATCCGATTTTTTTGGATTACCCAACCCTTTGCTTTACAACATTCTCATTTTTCCATCAAGCATACAAAGAGCACAAGGAAATTTATAATGATCCCAGATTTTTAAAGGTTGGATAACACTATATTCTTTGAGATATCGATTAATAGCACTATAACAATTATGAACTAACTCCATCTTATAATCTGATCCATCCTCTTTCTTCAACCATGTTATGAATTGACAAAAGTAAGCTTCAAGCTCATCGATACTATCATTCAATTTGATAGTTTTGGGTTTACCACAATATTTATTGAATCGATTCAAAGTTCTAATCCACTTTGACGTATTTCTTTCAGTATTTGTTACAAGTGATGCATTTTGTAGTTGACTTATTTCTTCTTGAGTCGGAAGTTGTGAGGCTCGATTGAAATCCATAATAATTTTTGTTAAGCGTGGGAAAGAATAGAAAAGAAAGTGAGTGAAACTGTAAGTGTGTAATTATTATTATTATTATATATATATATATATATATTTTATGCAATACGATTTTGTTTTCTGTTAAATGGCGAAAGAATTTGAAAAGAAAGTGAGCGAAAATGTAAACAATGATTAGAAAGTGATCATATATATATGAAAAAGGTCGGTGCTTACGTCAGAAGCATCGGATAACCGTGTTATCAGTTAAATTGCAAACGACAAATCTGATTATCGTCTACAACATAACCGATAACAAGTACTTATTCACCTCGTTGCAATGCTAACCTAGTTTACATAAAATCCGTCATAGCTTGGTTTTTTTTTAGTTAAAGATAATTTCAATCATGATGACTGTAATTTTACGTGACTTAATAGTGTGATACCATGACAATAAACTGCATTAACATAGTTTGGCCGATGAAAGCCTGAAAATCAAATTCGATTACATGTTTAAAGACGATAAAGAAGAAATTATTTTTATAATTAGAGGGGGTCTTATTAATTTTTTTTTTTAGATTCGAATTGGCCCGAGTTATTAAATTGGTCTCCAATTGATTTTATCGTATACAATATATTTAAATATCACTTTATTGATAACTCGATGAAAAGTAATAATTACAACATAAAAAAATAGTACAGTACTCAAAATACGGACAAATTTTCATATCAATATGTAGATTTTTTTTACCGAATATTTACATGTGACGTACATATATTCCACCATAAAAATTTTTCAGAGATTGGACCTAAATTCATAAGATTGTAAGTTTATATATCCGTACAAAAATGACACAAAGCTCGAATAACAACTGATCAATCACGGTCAAATATTACTTAAGGTTCTATCGCTAATATTTCTATAAAATACAATTGATAAACGTGGCTATATATAAAGTCAAAATTTTACTAATACGTAAACGATATTCAGTTGTTCGTATGTAATAATAATTTACATAATTATAAAATTTTCATGTAATAACCTACAAAAGGAAAATTGGCATATACAAATATTAATTTATCGTTATCGTTGTTTAATGATTTAATTTTTGTACTTCGATATACGTAGCTATGCATATTATTAAAGCATTAATTACCAATAAAAATAATTGCATGTGATAAATGATCCAAATGACCGATGACCTCAAATGATTTGAATTTGTACAAATAACCATCATCTCTGACACACAGTAGGCTAAAGTATTCAGCCGCTGTAAAATTAAAAAACAAATACGATTATGACCATCTAAGTTTTACAATGTTAGGATACTTTTATCTTGTGCTTGTTTAAGCAAACCGATATAGTAAAATTACGCTCCGTAATTTTTTTTTTTTAGTGCTTATTATTGCTTATTATTGTTATAAGGTCTTATTATTATCCCGCATTTTTTTAGTCTTTGTACTACATATTCGTGTACAAACAGTACGACATTAGATCAAAAAATTGCATTTTCTGATTGGCTATTTCCTATGATCATAACGATAATAAAAATTTAATTAAATATTAATTAGTACTAATTAATTTTTTATTTGTAGATGTGTTTAAATCAGTGGCTTACGATCGATCTCAAAAATGATGTAAAAAAAATCAACAAAACTGTATGTACGTACATAATTTGCAGGCTATTTATTTAAAGTGTTCTTTTGAAACAACAAAATCAGACGTCACGAGTGTTTAATCGTCATCTATTTAATTATTGGTGTAATAAGAACAATAATTTTATTTAGCAAGAGTAATTTTATGTCAACAAGAGTTTTTATACAGATTTTTGGCGGGCTCAAACTAATTTCAACTTTAGAATATACGTTATACGTATGTGTCTCTTCCAAAAGCAATTGTTTAAAGAATGCCACTGTACGAAACTGGTTAGCGCATGGATTTGCATTATTGATGTATTGATATTTGGAGTTAAAAAAAAAAAGGGCGCTGACTGTATAGCTAGTTCTTTGTGATTGGTCAATTTTATGCAGTTGAATTTATACAGTTTAGAGTATTTTTTAATATAAATTTTTGCGAGAAAATTAAATATCTTATGTATTTATGAGATTCGCCCAAAGCATACTTCACTTGGAACTAATTTCAATTAAGAAAGAATTCTTTAATAATTAGGCATATTATTCATATTATTTTTTAATATTTCTAAACGTGAAATAAATGCCCTGTCAATTTATTTTTTTCTAAGCAGGTTTTCAACTTTTAAGGTGGATTAACAATGCTACGTAAATCAAATTTAATTAGATATATATGTGGCGTTAATTGTTGTAAATGCCATGTAGACAATTATAAAACGCTATAATCACGAGAAAATTATCGTTATCTTTTTCAATCAAATTGCCGTAATTTAAAATTTCACTAAAAATCCCTGCAAAGTTTTGGTGCAGACTACCCTTACATTCAAGGTTGTTAAATTGTGGCTAATTAGACCCATTAAACATATAAATAAAGGTATTAGACATATTAAGTCTAATGACTTTTTTTTTTTTCATCAGACATTCTAATAATAATCCTGCTTACATCTGTACATGTTTAATCGATTTATTTTTTAGGTTTCGGATTAGCAGTTAGCAGTTATAACCAACAGTTACTTGGCCGATTATTTTGGAATTAGGCTGGACAGGTATGATGAATAATGGCCGGGTCCTAATTACGGGGACACTATAATCATTGTTAAACGATAGTTTCTCAATTTCACTTTGAAAATAATGCATTTAAAAAACTTTTACGCTTGGTTTGCTTTAAAAAATTAGTTTCGAATAGCAACCATATTATAAATTTCATCACGTTTATTTTGTTTACCTTTCATACAAAAAAAAAAAAAATATTAATTTTGTTATATTTAGTAATCATAATAACATTCAATTAACTGATCCACGCACAAACTTTATGTTGCGGTTTGTGTTTCTTGATAATCATTTACCTGCATATACATTTTTAAATACTGTAGTTTAATGAAAGTTTTAACCGAGAACCTGTATTTCGCTCATCATTTAACCAATAATGGAATTTGATTGTATCATGCTTTTAAAGTTAAAAAAAAATCTCATGCGAATAATATTATATGCATATAAACGTAACATACGTAAAAAGATGAAAGATGGCTAAAAACTACTAATTAAATTAGTTACACATTACTATAATTGATTTAAGTATTTGAACGGAGGGAATTCTGAACATTTTTACTCTTACGTATCTAACGAAAATTCTCATCTGCTTAAAAAAAATAAAAATAAAAATAAATTTATAACGAAATGGCTTTTCAGCTTGGACCTTCAGTTTGTGTTATCTTGACAATTGTTATATTTTTCCTTTGCCTCCTTACCCTTGCGGGTGTCCCTAAGACTGAGCTTCCTCAAGATAAGAGCCGTTTATTTGGCTATCCAGTATGGCATCCTCCTATCAAAGGTATATAATAATTTTATATCTATTTATGATATTATTCTACTTTTGCTAATAACAAAATTTCAATTATTCAATAAAGGAAATGATTACAACAAAACCGATAGTTCATTAGCTTTCGGTTCTCTCTTGATAACAATTACTTGCTATTTAGCCGCAAGATGGACTGCACATCCTCCGACCATTCGTAAACTTCAGACCTATTTTATCAGTGGCGACTCTCCTCCAGTTTCTGCCTACTACTTTAATCGCCTTTTGGTTCTTTATGCTTTTAATACAATGTTAACTTTTGTTTCTATTCTTATATTTGACGTTGGTAAACTTTGGATAGGGGCAATCGGAATGCTTCATAATAGCTCCGAATTTGCTGTTTTGGTTTTAATAGGATCTGGTGGAAGGATTAAAAATATTAGTTTTTATGGTATTCTTTTATGTTACATGTTTTTCGTCTATTGTGGTTGCCTTTTCATCGATTGGCCTTATGATGCTGTTTGGTTCAAATTCCAAGGTAAAGATTTTTTTTTTTTTTTTTTTTTTTTTTTTAAAAAAAAAAAAATATAAATTCGATTTTTAATACTGTTTAAATTTTGTAATATAATAGGTCTCTGTTTTGACTATGCACTTATGATCACTTTCTTCCGTATTTACCTTAACACTAAACATGAGCTTAAGCATGGTGATGAGGTTGAACGTATGCCTCTTGCTAACGATGAGGCAGGACCTGATCATCCTCATGATCAACAATATGGTCATGTTCATCATCCAAATCAACTTTTATTATTGGTTTTTGCTTCATTCTTCCATAATGTTGGTAACCTCACTGCCACTGTCTCCTTTGATACATTAGTTCCGTAAGTATTATTAATTTTGAGTACAATGTGTAATTTACTCTATACTGTATTTCTAACCTTTTTTATTTTATTTTAAATTAATTCTAATAATAATAGCTCCATTTTAACATCGTTAACCTATGCTGTCACCTATCCGGCTTACATGTATTATGTATATGTAGATACTCATGCTACAAGTGTTTATCCTACAAAACGCATTTACTTGCCTTCCACTCCAGGCTGGAAAAAATTTGTCATTGGTACAATATCAATTTGTTGTGCACTATTAACTGTTCGTTTAGGAGCATTTTTGATGGATAGGGAAAGGCATAATGATGGCGGTAATCTTAGTGCTATTTATTATTAATATGTGTGATAAGAATTTTTCTTTTAAACTTGTATTATGTATGTTTTCTTTGATTTTGTATATTGTATATTTTGATCAACATTTAAATTTTTCGTAGCATATTCATCAATGTATCACCTAAAATAAATTGTTTTGATGAATTTTTTTAATGAGAACTATTTCACTAAAGAACTTAACATTGTTTATATTGAGAAATTCAATTTGGATCCATTTTATTTATTAATTCTTGTGATCAAGAAATTATATAGAGTTAGCAAAATTATTGACTTGTTTAGCCTAATATCGTGTGATTAATAGTCAAACCTCTCTATAATCACACTCGGGATACAAAAATGTGTGATTGTAAAGAAGTGTGACAGTTATAGAGGTCAAATTTAATAGATTTAATAATAGTTTGTTTTTAAAAAAA